ATATATATATATATATATATATATATATATATATATATATATATATACATACACACACGTGTATGTACACAGTAAAATTAATATTTATTAATGAATAAACTATTACATTATCTAATATATTTATACAATGAACATGTGCTGCCCTCTACTGGATCTTTAATGTAAATCACATAACAACATCCATCCATTCTCTTTACAGCTTCTTCTGTTTGTTTTCACTTCAAAATGACTTATAAATAATATAAAGTGCTTGTTAAAGACATAAAATACAGAGTTAAATAAGAACTTCATTTTATTTTGAAGTCAGCTCGAAAACAAACAAACCAAAAATAAAACACCTACAATAAAGTCAATGATTTGGTGTTTTTGACTGGAAATCTTTACAGTTAAAGTCCATGAGCTGCTTAAACTAAACATTTTCCACCTGCCAAAACCAAAATGTTAACTTGGGACACAATCAGTCGATAACATGCATGTTTTTGGTCTGTGGGAGGAAATCAGAGTACCTGGAGAAAATCTGATTAACAGGTTAGTAGAAAAGTTACATGTACTCATTTACATGTACTTGAGCAATTACATAATAATAACGAGAATAAAAAGATAAAATGAATATAATAGAATGTTAGAATAATGAAATTAATAAATAATACCAAAATAATTACAATAACAAGTGAAAATATAAATAAGAAAAATAAAAATGACTAAAATAAAAAAAAACAATGAATTAATTATTTTATACTGTGATTTTTTTTACTAAAAATAAATAAATACAGCAAGTCTTTTCCTACACGCACGAATAAAGTGTGGTGATGTGAATCGTGTTGCTTCTCACCAAGAACAGCAGGCTGTTGTGAGCTGCTCGGTGAGGGGGTTGGCGCAGGGACAGAAGAAGACGGGACGCTTGGCGGGTCTGAAATGGCATTTTCTGCCCAATCTTCACAGGACGGAACATATTCTGGATCAAAATAAAGTGAAAAACAGAAACAGAGTTAGCATTGAGCAAAGTAGCATTGATGCTAACTAATAAGGAGCACTTCATGGGCAATAGCATCAGCCTCTTTTATTTGTTCAAAATATGCTCAAAACTGATGGAATTAATAAGTTAAAATATGC